CCCCCCGGGGGGGAGGCGAGGAGGAGTGTGGGACTTGCACCCACTAAAACCTCCCCGAGTCCTTTACCTAGTTTCGCTTTTGCCCCATAATTAGGGGGGAGGGGGAAAGTCTTTTACTCTACCAGGCGAGAGGGAGACACCACCTCCCCCTCGCCTCGCTCTATCATGGAAGGCAGAGGTCGCGCCGCGAGTACCCCGCTCGCAGGGTGGCCCCCTCATCAACGCTGACGACGTATTGGTCCTAGCCAGAGTTTCAACAAAATTCATGTATGCTGCAGAAAAAGCATAATATTCCGAACTCTTCGCAAGTGTGGATAATATGGCTGCTGGCACATTTGACTTGGTCGTATCAGGCAAATTGGCATGGTATAAATACGAATTATATATGTTCGCATCATGGTTGATCATCGGTTGACGACCCGATGTTGATGGCATATTATTTACCATCGTACTACTGGAAGCAGAAGTGTTCTCTATTTTTCTTCTTTTTTGCGACGGTCCAGCTTCAAATTCATCAGTAACTCTCTCGGTAGCTGTAGATGTCGATGGAATTCCCAACATCGCTTGGGAAGTTGTAGGTGTTGATCTCGACGATGATCCACCGACTGCACTATTGTTATCAACACTAGAAGTAGTTAGAATTTGTTCCAAGGATGTTCCTGGCATTGATGCTCCCGATGCTCTCATGTTATTTAATTGCGAGAGTAATTTTTGCTCAGACTTGCACCACCCTCTAAGGGTGGATTCAGGTACACCGATGTCACGTGCCACTGCTGCCTTTGATTCACCATTGTGAACTCTGTTAACTGCTTGGATTTTTGTCTCCGGCGACCTCAACCGCCGTTGCCGTGATCTCTTCGAAAGATCTAATGGCCTTTCTTGTATATCCCCCATTTTTTAAATTAGGAATAAGTCCGAGATCAGTTTTCAGTTTTCACAGCGTATTACTGTTACTTGTCCAAAGATACGGCTTTTTTTTGGTGCAAATTTGCGAACGTAGACCGCGTAGAACGTAGATCGCGAATCGCGAATGATACTACCAGAAGATGCGGCGTTTGTCTCTACGTTGCGTCTGTCTTTACGTTCTCTCGTTATATCACGTTTTTGGTCCAAAGTTATCAATGCGATGCTCGCGAGCGCGAATGACACCCCGAAAGATACGAGCTGAAAGCACGAGACAATTTTCTCTAAACTCTTACAAAGGCTCACCAGAGATACTTCGTGTTAAGCGCGACGGTTACAATAGAACTGACCGCTGTAGTCGATTTCGCTGTGGACTGCCCACTTCGCTTCTTTCACTCGGACTGTCCTCACCACCTGCGCGATACCCATCAGGATATATGCACGTCCTCATATTCTGTCGTTACGCCGGCAACGTTGCATTCCTCTTCTCCCACCCTATCATCCTCGGCGATTTGTATCTTTCAGCTTTCTGTGCCCTTCGGCCTCCGTCTCTTTCTTACTTCAACGTTTGACGCAGCTCGGTTTGTGACCAATGGGAATCGAGCCTAACATGTAGATCTAGAAAGAGGTGGAAGAGTTATGGGTTAATGTCGTGGTGGTGGAAATGAAAAATTCGAAATGATGAAAAAATGGGATAAACGTGAAAAGAAGGAATTCTTGGCAAAGAATTTCAAAGAAAAAAAAAAAAGATTTTTTTCAACTCGACCCTACATTGTATCCCTTTTTGTTATTAACAATATTTATTAATCGTTTAAGCAGAAAATAATTCGAGCCTCTGTCACCCTGGATATATCTCCGCGATCACATTTACATATTATTTAGATAAAAAAATCCCTCACCTACGCCCCTCCGTCGAGACGGTCGTTTGGTCAATAAGAATTTGGACTCCCCCACCACTATGCGCTACGCATGAATGGACTATGCGCTACGCAAGAATGTATTCTGCGCGTATCTTTCCCTCTCCATATCCCAGTCATCGACCTTGGCGCGGGAGGAGTGGGGCAAGCGCTCCGATCATTGCCGCGTACCTCTGAGCCGAATGACGATTGGCGCGCCTCCTAGGCTATCCCTACTCCACGCTGCTCGTGCACCGTGGGTGCACGCTCGGTGGGCCGTACTTAGGTAGGTGGTAGCCTAACAATGCCTTGTAATATTTTAATTAAACTGAGCTTATTATTTTTTTCAATTTTACTTTTCTTTATTTGTAATGTATTTTTTTTAATTGTGTGACAATTTAATAAATGTGTTTGACTCTTACTTTGCCCTTTATTTATTTTGTATAGGAAGAGTCCTTCTGTTTGTTAAATGTTTGACAAATATTGTCATAATATAAAATAGATCTTGAGTAATTAAATACATTCTTCGTAATTATTAATTTATAAAAATATACATTAACAATAACAAATAATTCTTAAAAAATATATCAAATACGACAAAGAATGCTATCATCACGGTTAGATGTTTCGAATAATATAATATATATTTCTTATTAATTAAATTTTCGATATGATTCCTTAAAAAACATATTTTTGCTTCAACGTTAAATAACTCGATGAAACAAAATCGTACGGAGATTTGTAAAAAAGCAAATTATAGGTAAAGATTTGTTCTTTCGAATGATGCATCACATTTGTATACAATTTTTAGTCCACTCCGTGGAACTCCACAAATTTTGTAAAAAATGTTGAGATTTTATATTTTTATTTATGTTTGTGTAACTTCATGAAATCTCCATGAGATTGTTTTTTTAAATAGCGATCTGAAAAATAGACATTTCAACCTGTAAAATGCTTTCTTAAACATCCCGATGCGACAATTTTTGACGAAGTTATTGTATCTTGAAATTTGCCTATTTTTGCAAAGTGAATAGGCGTTATGTTAATTTTGTTGCCCAGTGTATATAGAGTGTTCTAAAAATTCGCACCCGCAAAGTACAAAACTTTATACTTTACGCTAAAAGAAATAACTTATTCCTTTTACAAAATTGCGTCTGACAAGTAGTTTTTGCAGGAGAGCAGGTTGAAGTTGTATGAGTAAACGCAAAAATTATTTAATTTTGTTAAAGAAAAAAATTGTTTGTTTTAAAGTATCACGTCTTGTACTTTGCGAGTACGAATTTTGAAACATATATATATATATATGTATATATTTACAAATGTTTTTTACTGCATTTAGTTGAATCAATTAATTTCTTGTTTGGATATGAACAAATAAATATTCTTGACAGTATTCATAATTTGTTCTTATTTTAAGTCATGTCTTTAAGGAATATCTTAAGTCGCTAAGAGATCAAGAATTATTAATATAGTTTATTATTACTAACCATTATCAATCGGATATATAAGATCAGAATAGAAGATAAAAAAACAAGGTTATACATTAATAAGCTTATTTATTACGAACTAATTTATACATTAACTGTGATTACTGTAAAAGAAAAGAAATATTCATAGACGATAATCATTATTACTACTTAACATACGATATCTATTTAATAATTATTTTACATTTTTATGCATGATAAATCGCCAAAGAATCAGGTTTCAGGGTGACGTCAGCACATACGTTTTGTTTAGTTTATTTTATGGATAGTAACGGAGGAAGGAGAAAGAATAATTCCACCGGAATTAAATATTGGGAGAGTGCGAAATAAATACAGGAACGGGGACGTTGCCCGGTTGCCAATTGCATGCCGGATTTCATGTGGAAAATAATGAAGGCCGATTGTGAAGGTCCCCTCAGGAACAGATGCGGTAGTCCGCAGGAATTGGCTAATGGGTGACGCAAGAGTGTCATTCTCTTGAATGCGGAAATAGGACCTCAGTTGGCGAGAAGGAAAGTTCTTTCTTCTAAGGACTCCGCGCTGTCTATACAGATCGTCGGAGACGTTTTCCTCTCGGGGAAACCGGATTGAAATGACTAACGGATGTTAGCGGAGGAGTGTTCAGAAACAATTCGTCAGAACGTCAAAACGCAGGTAACGGAGATCGAGCAGGAGATATCACACCTCTAACACATTGCGATTAGGGTAGTTAGAACCGGCGGAACCGGTGGTGGCGAAAGTGAAATGGAAACAATGCGTCCTCGGCTGAGCGACTGTGTGACGATTGGGTGTGTGTGACTGTTGTTCGTGGAGGGTCTCCTTTTATATTGGCGAGTTAGTGGTGCAGAGCTCGCGTGTGCTATTGGTCTAATATAGAATTAGGATTAAGGATATCGGTTGTGAAATGGAATACTAGGGTATGTGTCTAAGACAATTTCCGACCATTTATCGGATGTCCAATAGTTTAGAGCCACATGTGTCATCTATTACAAACTGCTGTTTCAGTTTATAATTCTTAATCTATATATTTACTTCTCCTATTCTTCGGGATAAAATTCGCTTATTCGGTACTTGGTTCAAATATGTAATCCAACAATTTCGTCCCGAGTGGATTATTAATTGAAAAAGGTAAATGTTATTCGACTATGTTACTCGTCACTATTGTAACCTCCTATGGTAGAAACAGATGATCTACAGGTGTTACTTGTTAACAATTCTTATGACGATGACGAAAATTTTAATCGAAGAAAGAAACTGTGGAGTCTGGATGTAACATAAAAGTATTTGTTTTTTATTTTTTAATTGAACTTATTCTTAAAATTAGACACTAGTGTAAATAAATAAATAATTTTGAAATAAACGTAACAGCGCCGTTGATAAACTTGAAATAACATACTTTTGAAAAAAATTTTGATGTCTTTTTTAACTTATAAACTTAATTCCTCGATCGATTATGATCGAGTTATAACGATAATTTGCATTATTAAGCCATATTATCAGGAGCTTCAGTTTCGAATGGTCGATCGATTACGTGGATGTTAATTAAATCGCTCCGCGTCACTCAATTAGGCAACGATGTCGAATTAACCGATACAAATTGAGGCTGCTACGCCAGAAATCATTGATAAAGTCCACGATATTGTTTCGACTGATCGACGAGTGAAAGTTCGCGAGCTTGTTGAGGCCACGGGCATATCACATGGCACAGTGATTTCAATTTTGCACGAACAATTGGGTATGAAAGAACTATCGGCAAGATGGCTGTCGCGTTTGCTCACTGTGGACCATAAGCGCGACCGTGTAACGATTTGAAAACAATGTTTGGAGATGTTTCAACGTAATCCAGATACATTTCTGTGTCGGTTCATTATTGTGGACGAAACATGGATCCATTACTTCACACCCGAGACAAAGGAACAGTCAAAACAATTGATTTCACCGAGTGAACCAGCTCCGAAGAAGGCAAAGACCTTGAAAAAGCCGGAAAAAGGTGATGGCCACAGAATGCGCGCGGTTATTCGCGATAATTCGTATCGATTATCTTCCGTCGAAGCAAACGATCAATGGCGATTACTACGCAGCCTTAGTGGACCG